ATGTCGCATCGTTTGATTGACTATTATAATAATAATAAATAAATATTTCTAACACTCACACCAATTAGCCTAGCCCCAAAGTAAGCACTGTAAGGCTTGTGTTATGGGATACTAGGGTAACGGATAGAATACATATACTGTACATATATAAGTATATTTATATAGAAATACATATTAAACATCCATGACTGGAGTCACACAAACATCTGCCCCCACCGGGATTCGAACCCGGGACCTCTCGAGTCGGTGACACCATGAAACCCGGCGTACAAACCACTCGGCCACGGAGGTTATCATTATGTATTAGGTGGAAGAGTAGTGGGGACGAGCCGACGATATCGGTTCCCGTAAAAATGGTATACGATCACCCTTCTAAACTCTTTCTGTGTTCTGTAGTTTTGACAGACAGACTGATAAACGTTCGCATCTGTACGTTACGTGCGCATTTTGTAAGTTGACTTCGAAGTCAGATTTTTTACATAGCTTTAAGGGACCGTACCTTGATACCTCTACGCGTTCCTGAGTTAAAGGGTCTTGATAGACATAAGGATAGACGGACAACAAAATGTTCCTAAAATGGTTTCGTCTTTCATTTTGAGGTACGGAACCCTAAAATTAAACCGGTCCAACACGTCGATCTGTATCATGCAAACTCACTTTCGGTGATCAAAGGAATTGTATACAATACAAAATTGTATTTTGTTTTCTTCGCCCTTTTAACAAAGCTATTTTCCCCCATCTAGGGTTCTCCTTTGGAAGAAATTATAAGTCACGTATTACCAAAAACTTGATTGAATTAAACATTTACGTATTAACAGTCTATTTATTTACAATCTTAGGCAACATACCAGGCGGGTGGAACGATAGACAAAAATCAGAAGAAAATAAATAGCTGTGGTATTATGAAACCATGATGCAAGTACAACTTTTAATATAACAAATAAAATAAAGTCTTTCCTCGGCTGGGAATCGAACATGGACCGCCCTCATAGCCGGCGAGCTTTCTACCGCTGAGCCACGGATGCTTGTTGATAAGGTGATTTAGATGAAATTTGGTGCCCATATAATTATGTATGTCTGACCTTGATTGAGACAGGATACTCAGATCAGGTTGTGTGTCCGGTTCCTGAGGGATTTTCAAAGAATATCAGATTCCTGAGCAAAAAACTAATGTTAACGCGGGCGAAGTCGCGGGCGGCCGCTAGTAACAATTAAAAATGTTATGCGACACGCTTAAGATAAACGATAAAAAAACGACGGGCACTCCGGGAGTGCCGGCAGAAGTGAAAACTTGAATATTAACGTTGTGCATTTTTGATATTTTGGAATGGTTAGGGAATAATTTTGCACTAATTGCTTTAGTTATCAGTAAAAAGTACTATAATTTATGTGGTAGAATACAATATTTATTTATTGCGCTATCGTACACAAACATGACAATTTATATTACATTAAAAAGTTTATCTCTCAGAAAAATCCAATTACATGAATCACATTTAAGCGCACCTAGCGACATCTATTGTAAAAAAAATGCATTTTCTTCGCAATAAAGCTGCCACCTGGACGTCCTAGATACAGACAAAATGTATTGAAAGTTAACAACCTTTCCAATTTTATTGTATTCGTCTTACGCCACGTCTCCTGACGCGAGTTTAATATTTGTTACTCATACAAAAAAAAAATGTGTGTATCAGCTCCGACGCACGACTGGAGTTTACTCCTTAAGTTCGATAGTCTAACCAGACGCAAAAAGAGTTTATTTAACTTAAAAAAGATTGATACTGTATGAAAGGGTAAATTAACAAATTAATGAAAATAATATACATATATAAATATTTATTTATTTATTTCATATACATTTATTATAACTAATCGACGAAATATTTTACATTAAACTTTTTACAATAGTCAATTTCAGATGTGCATAAATATATCATTAGGAATGTTGATAAATTGTGTAATTATTATTACCAGACTATTATCATTTTTTTAAATATTAATTAATTATTATTTTTAAATATTATCAACATTGTCTGCATTATTCATTACAGTGACAAGTGGTTTATGGTAACTAAAATAAGACACATGGACGTTCGTAGATACGTGGTTCACGAATCTTGAAAATACCGCATCAATGGTTGTACCATACCTCGTTGTCCCCATTGCTCTATCAGAAACAATATCTAAATTCAGTTCAGTTTTTAAAAAAAAATATTAATGTCAATCCGTCATCTTTGTTTGTCAAAGTTGCGCGACATAGGATGCGCACCAAAAACGTAACGAGGTCATTCATCGATAGATTTTACTCCTCACATTTTTCTCATACCGATCCCCTTATATATGCAAATCGATTCTTAAGGAGTAAACTCCAAAAAGTGTACAACGCCGCTAAAGAAGTTTTCGCTTCAAAAATTGTGGCGATGTAATAAAAGTTTCACTTTAATATATTTCGGAGATATCATAAGCGTTCCACCTGATTGTATGCAGTAACTTTGACGTCTCAGAGCAGAGCACCTTACGAACATCTGCGATGGCTGCCGAATTGAATTTCAAATTTATGCGTCATTTTGCGTCATAAAGCGTTACGGCCGAGGTGATCCGAGTAATGCGACGATACGTCATGGCGTGCCGTAACGTGCCGTTCTTGTACAAACGTATGTTAACAAAACGGATTAAATGTAGCAGATTTTGTGATTTATCGAATGAGATTTTTTTTCTTTTAGATGCGAGATTTTTTTCATTTGATTCTTTGATAAGTATAACAAGAATTAAACAAGGAAAAAAGAAGAAATGGAACTTCAAAATTAATCAATTATATTTCGATTGAAAAAAGGGCTTTCTTTAAGTTTTCAAATAAAACTTATAACACGAATGAAAACAGAAACAACACCACATAAAAATATTGTTGTTTCTGTTAGGTGCAAGTTACCTACGCAAACAAGTAATCAAATTCAATCGGAAAATCCTGTTATCTACAATGATATCGTAATCTATCGATCTTCAAGAATAATTATTTGACCATAACCGTTTTAATGAAATCGAAAAAAACACTTAGGCCCGCTTTAAATTTAAAAGCTAATCATGTGTAAATATTATCTTCACTTATTTGACTATACAATTCAAAAGAAGAAATGATGTGTTAAACAGGTTAGGAACGTTGGTGTATGAAACCTTAAGCTTCGTACTTACATACGGTATAACTCGATAATTTTAGTCTAAAGCGAGTAAAAATCAACGTGTGGATCGCAAAGCTCATAAACTTGAAGGCTCGATGGAATCAAATAAATGTAATTCCCTTCATACCTACTTGCAGTGAGCCGTCGAGTTTTAGGGGAAACCACCCAATCATTGGCACTCGTCCTATTATTGGCCCTTTTGAGTTTAATTCGGAAAATCAAGGAGATAATAGATTATTCAAGGTTGTTACATATTGAAAAGAAAAACCTAGTATGGTTCCGAAATTTGAAAATTGGCAGCATTATTCCTACAATCTATTGTTTCCTGTTATTTTCGAACTAAACTGAAAAGTGCCAATAATAAAAAGTGTACAACGCCGCTAATAGGAAATAGGAAGAGTGCCAATGATTGGGTAGTTTCCCCTACTTCATAATGCTTTCACCTTACACGTTCTCCTTTGTTAAATTGACATTATTTGACTCAAACGATTTGGTGAATGAAGAACGTCGCGTGTCCCTCCCTTGATAAAATAATGCAGTGTGTGGACAATAGCCCGTACCGCTGGTTTTACTCATCATGTTTATTCGATTGAATAAAACAGTATGTGATCACGGACCCCAAGGCTCGTATTACAGAATGACAACTAAGTGTTGATTACTTGAGTACAGTTAAACTCAAACTCATTTATTCAGTCTAGGCTGTTACAAGCTCTTGTGAAAGTCATGCGCTACGCCAACGGTTCGTAAATCTATGGCGGGAGACCTTGTACTGAGAAGAACCGGCAAGAAACTCAGCAAGGGCTATTTTTTCTCCCTGTTTTGTTTCATACAGTGTCGTCAATTGAAAGATGACACCAAAAATTTAAAACATGTGTTGACGTCAACTTTCACCACATTAATATTATTAATTAACAATAAGTTAATTATAGCTACGTACTATTTTAAAAGTGCCGATTAAACAATTTTCAACCAAATTAGCAAAGTAAAACGACTTAGTCTATTATATTAAGCCCAAGGTGCCTTATCATTTATGAAATCATAAACAGTATAGTAACCTTTCTTAAAGAGACATGTTTTTATACATACTTTAAACTTATTAAAAGTTAAATTAATTATTTCTTATGGTATTTTATTATCGTAATATATACATTGACCCATATATGAACCAAGAACCTGTTGGGAGTCTCAACGGTGGCAATTTGAGTTTATCTTTATTTCTAGTATTGAAATTATGTTAGAAATTAGTTAGAAAGGGATGTCGCCATGTGCTATACAAAGCGACATCCCTTTCTAATTGTACTTAACTAAAAATCAACACTTAGCTGTCATTCTGTAATACGAACCTAAGTCTTTCTAAAATGTACCCTACACCATAGGTACTTATAAAATTAATTTTATTGCATCCACTTTACAACGTATTCCAAGCATCCCACAATTCACTCCGTTAGTATTTATTCATTGGATGCGAATAATTCACATATGAATAAACAGTCCCACTACGGCCATAAAGTTCAAGATGTATATAACCGCAAGGCACAGGTCCGCATTTACATATAACTGGGCAAACCAGTATGATAAAGAGCCGTCATATAAAATATATCCTTGTCGCTATTACAATGTTCCTAGCTTTTTACTCACTATTAATGATGTCTTGAAATTACATGATTTATGCATATTTAACCAACCATACAGAGGTAAGGACTTGTAATGCATTTAACTCTTAAATAATGACTTGATAATCCAACAGACTTCATTCTGCCCTGCCTAAATTTGCATTTTGTTATGAAAGCAATTTCAATTTATGCTGCGAAGTGGTTTGCCTACCTCATTTTTATTCAGGTTTCTCGATTGTCTATTAAAATGAAAATATTTTTCTTTATTTACATAACGATTGAAAACAATAGCCTATGGCTTCTGTATTATCTTACAGGACAAAGAACATTTTTGTAGTAAAACGCCCTATTTAATTTTATTTCGATTATTTGTTGTGATACAATAACATATGGGCACGATAGAATAACATATGGGGGGCACTTGTGAAGTACTCTTATACCTGATCACTTTATTTAGGCCCGAACATCTCGGGTAGCAAACAAAATCTCAACTAACGGCCACGACTTTCGGTCTCTCCCAAATCGTCAGTCTTTTGAATAGAAGCAACGAGAGGGTTCACGGATGGAAAAAAATATAGATTTGCCGATTGTCATGGTGTGGGGGTGGCTGTACAAAGGGGTGGAACATAGAAAAAAACGAGTGTGCTTATGACCACACGACTGAAGTGAAACTTCATTAGCTCTATCTGTATGTATTTATATATATATATATATATATAAATACAGAAACACCCCGTATATATATATATATATACGGGGTGTTTCTGCTGATAGCGGAGTACTATACCTATCAATTTAATCCCCATGTACTCGTATGTTCTACGATTTTTCTAACTTTTTTTGGGTTGACTTTTCTTAGTTTTCTTTTTAACAGATTGCCTATTGTTTGTAGTTTTATAAGTAAAATAATCTCCTTCCTTACTTTAACCTAATACCTCGTTTACATGCAGCGCGAGTAAGGAGGGAAGTGGGCATGACGAGTATGTAAACAAGATACTCGTCATGCCACTGCCATTGCCACTCGCGCTGCCTAGCGCTCCCCAAAAGAGCGGTTTTTTGTGCGAAAGTCAAAGGACCGGCAGCGTGAGTGGCGATGTGTTCACACTCTGCGCGTCGCTTAGTTCGTGCCACGCGCTTGGTGGAGAAAGAGGTGTACTTTTTTAAGATCAGCATAACATATTGGATTGAGAATGACGTCACACAACTAACCATGCATTGTCATCCAAACTCAACTTGTGTACAAAATTTCAGCTCACTCGAATGAATATATCTGCTTCAAAATTGACTTGCAAGATTTCACCCGCACGAATATAAATACATTACATACATTGCAAGTTACATAAAAGCTTTTAAAAAACAGTTATGTGGGTTGGTAGCTACTTACAAAGTTCTATTACGATGGATAGATAACATCCACCATCTTCTACGACGAACTTTCTTTTTTTGTACTTGATATATTTTTAAATTTCGAACATAATTATGGATTGCCGAAACTCTGAAGCGAAGTAAGAGGTTGGGCAGTATGTAAACATACTTCTCTCATTCATGCCGCAGCAATATTTAGGGAATTATTGTCGGTATGGGCATAGTCTAAACGAGGTATAAGATATAAAATATTTTGATCGATACTAAATAAAAATGGATTAAGTAAAACAGAATAGATTTTCAATTAAAATAAAAAAATAGAAAGATGTTCCATAACTTCTGAATAATTTTAGAAACTGCCCGACTTCATAAGCTTTCATAAAAATATAAAAAAAAAGATATACTAAATTGGGCATTATTTGCTGAAATCTGTCGTTGAAGGTTGTTGTTGTATCGGAAATCGTGTAATTTTAATATTTTATAATTTCGTAGTATCTTTGCATATTTTGTCAATCTTAAGTTTTATTATTATTCTTTTTAGTTTAAGGTGGAACTCATTAGAAAATAAATATAATCATTTTATGACTACTAATCACTCAAAACTCCTGTTATCCTTCTCTTCAGGTATTTTTATTTTACGCTTAAATAAGGAAGTGACTACTCGTATGTCGAGGACTCTCGATTGACCTTTATATTAAGGTTGTTTGAGTGATATCATGCCTCGAGATTACGAATTTTGATCGCAAGATTATGCGCAAATGCATTATATCTACGGGTACGCGCATGGAAAAGCTTCACTTGCGGCAAGGATGTTTCGCGAATATTCTGCAACACAGAAAGGGACGACAGCCCGAAATTTATCAAGATCATCAAGCATCATGTCGACCGATCGATGTGGATCAGGATCCGCTTTTAACGTTCTTGATCTGTCTGTATTCGCCGGGTTACGGCCTTCCTCCTACGCTCGATGTACTCGCATTGCGGTCTAATGGAGAAAAAAAAGACATTAATTTATTTATTTAAATTTTTCTGTAAAATCATCCCAATCTTTAAATATAAGCAGTTTTAAAAAAATTGGAAAATACCCTATTAGACAATCACAAAAACGAAAGTCTTATAAGACTTATAAGAATACGGCACATTCAACAAGGATAACCTTCTTTAAAGCTCTTTACAGAGTGACATCGGAATCATAATAATATCATTGCTTTCACTGTCCGTCCGTTCGTATTCGTATCATGGGTAGGAGTGGGTGTATTATAAAACGAAAGCAGCCATTTTCACGGAATGTTCCAATCAAAAGTAAGAAAAACTAAAAGGGATTATTGACATGACGAGCGTATCTTTTCTTAAATCCTTTACAAGGATACCAGAACGTCTAATTGGCGTCTCTGAGTAGCAATAGTGTTTTTCTTTTTTTCGTGTTCCTTAACTAAAGGCTTTGATTTAAACAAAAAAGGGAAGATACGGCATGCTCAAACTAGCATCAAATAAAATATGATCCGACTCAACTACATTAAGTAACTCTCAATTACGCACACGTCTGTAAATAAACATTCAATCGAGCTAGCGAGACAAAACTGTAAGCTTCAACAGCGCGAGCGTTGTCCTTTTCTTGGTAACAAAATGGCGATTACGTAAAGTCACGACAAACCATGATTTTTGAGAAAATATGATTTTACAGTTTTACGAATGAAAAGTGTTGCCGAGGCATTTGTTATTCGATTTTGAACTATTTGTGTTCTTTACAAAAGCATCGAAGACATTGTTTTATCTTTATAACACAGAATATACGCAATATTGTTATATTGATTGCACATGCAGCGTGTTTGAATGTCCAATTGTGATTTAAGCTGATTGTGATCATACACCACAATTTAAGCGGATCACTCTTGAGTCACTGTGACTTGAGTGTATCGTATCTTCTCTTTTTGTTTTAATCTAAGCCTAAAGGGTAACAAAGGGAATCCTATTGGTACATGATTTCGTGGTTTATCTCTACCTTTTCAATGGATTTTTTTACAAAATGTGTGTTAATGTGGCCGGTATCACAACAAATAATCGAAATAAAATTAAATAGGGCGTTTTACTACAAAAATGTTCTTTGTCCTGTAAGATAATACAGAAGCCATAGGCTATTGTTTTCAATCGTTATGTAAATAAAGAAAAATATTTTCATTTTAATAGACAATCGAGAAACCTGAATAAAAATGAGGTAGGCAAACCACTTCGCAGCATAAATTGAAATTGCTTTCATAACAAAATGCAAATTTAGGCAGGGCAGAATGAATTCTGTTGGATTATCAAGTCATTATTTAAGAGTTAAATGCATTACAAGTCCTTACCTCTGTATGGTTGGTTAAATATGCATAAATCATGTAATTTCAAGACATCATTAATAGTGAGTAAAAAGCTAGGAACATTGTAATAGCGACAAGGATATATTTTATATGACGGCTCTTTATCATACTGGTTTGCCCAGTTATATGTAAATGCGGACCTGTGCCTTGCGGTTATATACATCTTGAACTTTATGGCCGTAGTGGGACTGTTTATTCATATGTGAATTATTCGCATCCAATGAATAAATACTAACGGAGTGAATTGTGGGATGCTTGGAATACGTTGTAAAGTGGATGCAATAAAATTAATTTTATAAGTACCTATGGTGTAGGGTACATTTTAGAAAGACTTAGGTTCGTATTACAGAATGACAGCTAAGTGTTGATTTTTAGTTAAGTACAATTAGAAAGGGATGTCGCCATGTGCTATACAAAGCGACATCCCTTTCTAATTGTACTTAACTAAAAATCAACACTTAGCTGTCATTCTGTAATACGAACCTAAGTCTTTCTAAAATGTACCCTACACCATAGGTACTTATAAAATTAATTTTATTGCATCCACTTTACAACGTATTCCAAGCATCCCACAATTCACTCCGTTAGTATTTATTCATTGGATGCGAATAATTCACATATGAATAAACAGTCCCACTACGGCCATAAAGTTCAAGATGTATATAACCGCAAGGCACAGGTCCGCATTTACATATAACTGGGCAAACCAGTATGATAAAGAGCCGTCATATAAAATATATCCTTGTCGCTATTACAATGTTCCTAGCTTTTTACTCACTATTAATGATGTCTTGAAATTACATGATTTATGCATATTTAACCAACCATACAGAGGTAAGGACTTGTAATGCATTTAACTCTTAAATAATGACTTGATAATCCAACAGACTTCATTCTGCCCTGCCTAAATTTGCATTTTGTTATGAAAGCAATTTCAATTTATGCTGCGAAGTGGTTTGCCTACCTCATTTTTATTCAGGTTTCTCGATTGTCTATTAAAATGAAAATATTTTTCTTTATTTACATAACGATTGAAAACAATAGCCTATGGCTTCTGTATTATCTTACAGGACAAAGAACATTTTTGTAGTAAAACGCCCTATTTAATTTTATTTCGATTATTTGTTGTGATACAATAACATATGGGCACGATAGAATAACATATGGGGGGCACTTGTGAAGTACTCTTATACCTGATCACTTTATTTAGGCCCGAACATCTCGGGTAGCAAACAAAATCTCAACTAACGGCCACGACTTTCGGTCTCTGCCAAATCGTCAGTCTTTTGAATAGAAGCAACGAGAGGGTTCACGGATGGAAAAAAATATAGATTTGCCGATTGTCATGGTGTGGGGGTGGCTGTACAAAGGGGTGGAACATAGAAAAAAACGAGTGTGCTTATGACCACACGACTGAAGTGAAACTTCATTAGCTCTATCTGTATGTATTTATATATATATATATATATAAATACAGAAACACCCCGTATA